AGATTTCTGAATGCCTGCTGTCCACCTGGCTTTGGAGGAAGCTCCACACCTACTTATTTACTGGATTTATGGGGATGGAGCACCTCTCCCGTGGGAAAAGCCCGAGAGAATTGGGATTATTTGGCCTGGAGAAGAGAAGGGGCTGGGGTGACCTAACTGTGGCCTTTTGGTGCCTTAAGGGGCTCCAAGAGAGCTGGAAAGAGGATTTGGATGAGGGCATGGAATGACAGGACAAGGGAGAATGGCTTCCCACTGCCAGAGGGCAGGGTTAGATGGGATATTGGGAAGGAATCCTTCCCTGGGAGGGTGGGGAGGCCCTGGCACAGGTTGCCCAGAGAAGCTGTGGCTGCCCCTGGATCCCTGGAAGTGTCCAAGGCCAGGTTGGACGGGGCTTGGAGCAACCTGGGCTGGTGGAAGGTGTCCCTGCCCATGGCAGGGGGTGGGATGGGGTGATCTTTAAGGTCCCTTCCAACCTTCTGCCCCTTGTATTTTAAATTATCATCTTACTAGTATTAGGAATTAATGTTGTAGTGTTTAAACACGTGAAAACAGGGTGTTGCTTCCCTTCTCCCAGCTGTATCCAGGGACAAGGCTTCAGCTCCTTTACCACAAGTGCTGGGAATGGCTTTGTAGTGTAAATAGGCACTTATGGTATTTTTAACAAGCACCTGCTTTATCCTGCTGCCTAATGAGAGCTGGACAGAAATGCAGGGAAAGCAGAGGAAGGTAACACTGCCATTTAAGCTAATTAACAGCAAATTAAATTAAACTGACACACACATATATTCTGGGCTCCTGCATCTAACAGGAGGGAATGCTGCGGAGATTTCATTATTCACATTCCCCATCACCTGCTTTTTTTTCCCAGCACATTCCTACCCAATTACCTGGGGAAGGAAAAGGGAGAAAGATACTAAAGCCAATAAGATAATTCTCATTTACATAAAAATTTTTCTGCATTGTGTTTAATAGTCTGCAAGTAACTGTAGAAGAATATATAGTCCATTCTTTAAAAAGCTCCAATGCACTAATTGAAATTAAATTACATGGAACTCAGTGTCTGCCTTCTGCTCATTGGGAGATAATATGCAAGCCACAGTTTTATGTGTTATTATTAATATTGATGGATGAAGCACTGTAGTCACCACAGAGCCCCTTCCCAGATGTGATTCCCTTTCCTTCAGCTGTAGGTGAGCCTAAAATGATGTTTTTTTCCCCATTAAGATGCCTCATTTGCTGCAGCCAGGCCTGGGATCCTTCAGCATTCAGGAGAGCCAGCACTGCAGGTAGTGGGGTCTATTTGCAGCATTAACACTGGGTAATGCAACTGCATCCTTTTTTCATGTTACTTTGCATATCTTACAGCTCAATTAATCTGTCAGGGTGATGCTTCCATCACAAACAAGATTTAGGGGAATTTAATGCTAAGTTGGCAGGCCTGGAAGGCACAGGCTGATGTTCCCTGGTAGAGGCAAAATATCAGGACCTGCTTCCCTGCCTTCCCAGCCCATCCCAGGAGCTGCTGGGGTGGGAGCTGGGCTCTTGCTGGGATTCAGGCTGTGTGGAGCTCACTCCTCACCTCCTCTCCAGGCTGTTAACAAGGGAGCCAATTAGTGCCAGTTGTGATGGGAGCACTTTTTCCACCAGGAGCTGGATTGAAACCTTTAATTCATTTTGCACAGGCAGAGGCACACAAAATGTTCAAGCATGGATAAAATCCACACATTCAGAGGGTTTAGAGCATCCCCACGGATTTTGTTCTTTGTTTCAGACTTGAAGCTTTCATTAAAAAAAAGTGAAGGGGAAAAAAAAAAGGGAGGGGGGAAAGGAAAGGTTTCTTGGCCTTTTGATGGTGAAACTAATTTTCTTCATCTAAACTAATACCAAGCCTTCCTGAGCTATTTGTGCTGAAATGAGCTTTCTCCCCTTGGTGATCTGGGACCATGGAATAACGAGTTGCCAGAGTTGGCCATCAGTCCTTGCTGCTGCTGGCACCAGTGACAGCTTGGCAGGTCCTGCTGGTGCCTCCTGACATTTCCCAGCACGAGGCAGATGGACCAAGGAGCTCCTTGTTGTTGTCTTCCATCTCTTAAGAAGGTCTTTAGGATTGTCTTTCATTTCTTCAAGATCCAGAGGGAACAAGATGGGGATGAAGAGCCCCTCCATGGCTGTCTCTGTCCCAGGGGGCCCAGCTGCACCCCAAGCTCTTAGTAGGTTCTGCCAAGGGGTGCCTGGTCCTCAATTCCATCACATTCCAATGTGGGAAGGACATTTTGCTGCTTCTCTGCATCGATGCTGCCTTTTGCTTGGACCTCTGCAGGGTTAAAGATAAGACAAACTGTCTCTTTGCAGGGTTACAGATAAGACAAACTGTCTTCTCCCCCAGGGCTCCTCCAGGACCTGATTTCTGAGATGTCTCATGGCTGCAGATGGATCTCTCTCACCTGGAGATGAACTTTTGCTCTTGGCTGATGCAGGAGGAAGTCCCCTGAGGCTGCACAGAGCTGTCCCAGAGGATGGTTTATCCCACCCACACCTGAGCAGCCCTGCCAGTGGTCCAGCAGCAGCAGCAGCATCTCCAGGTGCCAAGCACAGGGCTCAGGGACTGGCAGGAGGTGCCCTGCCCAGCTCCCATCCCAGGGCTCGGGAGCATCACTGCTCCCTTGGAGAAGGCTGGGCCTGGTTTAGATCACTGAGTCCTGCTCTAAAGACTAAAGATCTTCTGGAGGGATGAAAGTTCCTTTCAAGGCACTGATCAAACCCTGCTCACACAGTGACAGGAGGGTATCATTTTCCACCAAGGTAAATGGGAATGCAGACTCCCCCCTGTGCTTCGGATGAGTCATCAGGAAAATGTTCCTGAAACCTCCTGTCAAAGAGACTTTACATTAAAGGCAGCACCAGAAAGCAGAAAGTGTTTTTTTCAGGACATATATTAAGTCCTTCAGCTAATTAATCCATGCATTTACCAAAGAAATGCTTGACAATACACACAGTTCAGCTGAGTTCAATGAATGAAAGAAAATATCAGATTGGGAAACCCACACAACTCCTCTGGTCCGGAACAGATCTCCTTAGCAGCAAATCCCAGAGAGAAACTTCTCTGTTTTTCCCCTCAAGTGAAATCCTCTGTCTCAAATGCTGTTTTTTTCTCAGCCCACTGAGCTTGAGAGGGTGAAAACCCCATGTAAGGACTCCAGGTTCTGCACCACTGCTTTTAATAGGAATGCACTTGGGAAAGACCATCACCCAGTGCAGTTCCTGGTGGAGAGGGAGAGTACTGGAGTGCAGAGAAGTGCAGAACTTCTTCCTCAAACACACAGTACCTTACTAGTACCTTGTGAGCCTTGTCTGTAGTTCTCCAAGTCTTCTGCTTTCCCCTTTTTTTTTAATGAGGGCTGTATTTCCCTTTTTCCAGTTGTTGGGAGCTTCTCCTGACTGCCACGGTTTTCCAGCTATGATGGATGTTGGATTAGCAACTGTGCCTGCCAGTCCTGCCAGGGGCTCCTTGGAGGAGGTGATCCTGGGGTTCAAACTGGAAGAGGGGAAGTTTAGCTTAGATAGAAGGAGGAAATCCTTCCCTGGGAGGGTGGGGAGGCCCTGGCACAGGTTGCCCAGAGAAGCTGTGGCTGCCCCTGGATCCCTGGAAGTGTCCAAGGCCAGGTTGGACGGGGCTTGGAGCAACCTGGGCTGGTGGAAGGTGTCCCTGCCCACGGCAGGGGGTGGCACTGGATGATCTTTAAGGTCCCTTCCAACCCAACCCATTCCATCTCAGACCTGCACCAGGGGTTCTCAGGTACCTACTGACCCAGCACAAGGGGGATGCAGCTGGTACCCAGCTGGTGCCCAGCAGGATGTGGCACTGCTGGGGGGTTCCCTGAGGGCCAGCTCATGCCTTGGGTGTTCCCACCAGCTTCTCATGGCTTTGGAGGCAATAGCACAAGGTTCTGAGCAGGGCTGAGCCCCTTCTCCTTGGGAGGAACTCCTGGAGGAGCTCATGGGTTGGAGACACCCTGTAGTCACTGGAGATGATGCCTCTCCAAAGGGAAGGTAGGTGGTGTGGGAGTGACTCCTTTAACTGCCCCAGTCTCCAAGGAAAAGCAGACCCACGGGAAAGGACAGGGAGAGGGTTGGAAAATGTGGTGTGAAATGACACTGAGGGTTTCTGCACATTCCAGCCAGTGCCACAGCCAGGAGAACATCCCAGCATGACCAGGGGCTGTGCCAGCTCAGCCACTGCTCCTGGAAACACTGGTGGGCTCCACACTGAGTAAAGCCTCTCACTGGCATCCCTAGGAATGGGGAGAAAGGGGTGAGCTGTCGTGTTCTGAGGCAGACTGAGCTCAGGATAACACCACACTGGGAGCAAATTGACACTGAGCTTGGAGGAGAAAGAAGAAAGAGAGGCTCTAACAGGCTGGAGATTTAAGAAATGTCAGCAGTCACAAGTGTAATTCCAGAGCTCAGACTCCACGGGGTGACCAGAGCTGCTCCTCACCTTCTGTACCAAGCATGACTGTGCCCTGTCTAATTCTTTTTCAGAATGGAATTTGGAGTTGAATGGTATTAATTGCTTGTTCCCTGGTTTTATGGGGCTCCTGTAGGTCTAATAATTCAGTTTATAGCTGTGTATTGCAACTGTCAGTGAATGAGACTGTTCACAGAGTTCTGGCTTGGCTGTCTGGGGTTTAAAAGCTGACCAGCCACGAGGACAGTGGGAAGGATTCCCCCCTGGGGGGTTCCTTCTCCCCCATCAGCACCCTGAGTCCCCTGGCAGTGTTTTACCTCCCAGCACTCACATCTGAAGCACGGGAACACAGCCCCAGGCTGGATCCTGGTGGGATCCACAGGGAAATGCAGTGCTGGCCACCAAACAGCCTGTGAGAGGGTCCCTGCTGTGCCAGGGCTGGGAGCCACCCCTGTGCCACACACACATCCTCCCCCATGTCTGCAGGGTTTCATTGAAGGGAACCCATCAGATGGCCAGTGGGAGTGAAAAAATCCCATCTATCACCATGTTATGTCCATGCTTACAGGTCCCAGCTCTCAGGACAGCATTCCTATATGACTGGGTCCCCATGGAGCATCCAGTAAGGAAGGAAAAGGAAAGCCTTACACTAATAACTGCTCAAATTCAGCACTGACACCATTCTGGGTTTTCAAGCTACTGAATCTTTCCTTTTTAGCTTCCCAGAAACACGGAGTCACATACAACATTTGCTTGAGAAAACACTGACTTCCCATTCTCAGCAGCAGAGTAAACACGGCAAAGATGAATTGGAGAAGATACCAATCAGCTGCTGAATGGATTTAAGAAGGAATTAATCCAGCCTTGTAATTTCTGTGCTCAGAAATGCCCCAGCAAAGCCTCCTGGAGAAGCACAGAGGTGCTGGCCAGCACAGACACCCTGTGTGCTGGGGGCAGTGTGACCACCTGGGGCCAGGGGAAGCAGCTCTGGGGCATCCTGAGGTCACAGACAGTTCCAGAGATCAGGAGTCAGTGCTGGCAGGGCTCTGGCTGGGCAGGTCTGTGCTTTAGGATGCTGCCATTAACACACAAAGCTCATTTGACCTTTCTTGTCCAGTTTGGGCAGAGCACTGGGAGCCAGGAGCACCTGAATGGTCTGAGGGCTCCTAAGACCTGTCATGTCACCTCTACATAAAGACCTCAACAGATGGGGACAGAGAGGATCTCAAATTGTTCCATGTAGCTTAATTATTTCATAATAACATCTTTAATACATCTGAGAAGCTTGGAAGGACTCCTTTCGTGCCTAATTGCAAGGCTTTCTGAGAAAGCAATCACCACTCAGAGGTATTTTCCAAGGATTTTTCTGCCTTTTTGCCTTTGTAACATCAGTCAAGCAAACCACTGTCGAGCAGTCTCTGTAGTCTGGCTCCCTTTTTAACCTCTCCTGTAAAACCTTTGGGTATTATTATCCTCTCCCTATTTGTTCATGTCTTATGAGCACAGATGCTTATTTGGGGCTTGCATTAGTGCACTCGCCAAACAAAGAGGAGACATGAAAGGAGCAAAGAGAACAGTTGAGTTGAAAGTCTCTTGGAGGGCCTTGGAAGTTCTTTGTTGCCAAACGAGAAGGAGCCTTTCCTGTGCCTTCAGCTGGAGGGGAGGAGCAGGCAGGGCTCCAGCCACAGGTGAGGAGCCTCTGCAAACAGCTCCAGCTCGTGTCAGGGGGGGAAAAAAGGCTCCCTGGGGGGGTGTGTTTGAACACTTTATCCCCGGGCTGCAGCACTACAAAGACTCAGGCTGAGCAGAGGCATTTTCAGCACGTCAGTCAGTCCCTCCTCCTGGTCACAGTGAGGTCAGTGGGACACCCACACACAGCCCCTGCCTGCCCTGCACCCACAGGAGCCCTGCCCGCCCCAGACCACCCCAGCCACGGCAAGAACAGGTTCCCCTGCCCTGGAGGCACAGGGGGAGGCACGGGCAGAGCAGAACGAGGAGAAGGACCAGGAGGAACCTTGGGCGCACTGTGGGAGCGTCCCCGCGCTCAGCCGGGAGGTGGTGTCCTCCATCCCTCATTCCAGAGTGGATCCACAGACCTCCTGGGAGTAAACACACAGCAACTGTGACCTTTTGAAGCGATCTTCCACTGAGAAATAGCTCTCTCTGATCACAGGACCATGAATTGTTTCAGAATAAACACATTGCCCAGTGGGAGTGGGAGTCGGACACAACGGCTCCAGTGCTTTGCTCCAGCTGTTCCCGTGGTACTGAGCCCAGAGACACTCTTGGTGTGGGGCCCAGGCCCTCTTTAGAAAGAACTGAAGGGGACAGGGCTACTGTGTCTTACATTTCTAGTGTTCCAAGGGACATTAATTCCCCTCCCAACCAACCTACTTTATCTGCATTGTCTCTGGAAAGTCAGCTGGTGGCTCCTTGAAGTGTTTGATGATCCCTCCTCAAAGTATTTCCAGGGGCACCACTCCAGCTGAGACAGAAATACCCAAAGAGCTTCTCCTAAGCCCTGAGCTGTTTGTTCACAGCTCTTGGCTCTGCAGAGTGACCTGGGGATGATGTTCACTCGTGGCACCATCAGGTGTGTCACTGGTCACTACAAACAAACCACACTCTCCACCACACATGGACCATCAATCCTTGTTGGGTTACCAGATGAAAGAGGTGAATGGAGTCAGTGCATCCCAGGAAACACCAAAATCATGGAGGGTGACACTGCTTTTGCCTCAGTCCCTCTATGGGGACCTGAAGAAGTGAAAGGCACTTGGTGGTTCTGCCCCCATGGGAAGGTCTTCCTTATAAACTGTCTGAAGCTCCCACCCTGCCCACAACACTCCCTATCTCTGGAATTCCAGAGTGGTGGTGGTGGGGATTTCCTTGGGATGAGGTGGGGAGGAAGCACCAGGAATCGTGGCCACCCCCTGATAACCCTTGTACATTTAAAATCCAGTGTTAGAGTAATAAGTCAGGCATCACTTTTCCAGCTACATCTTGTTCTGTCATTCTGGAAAGATAAGCAGCAATTCAAAAAACCCCCAGGAATTCTAAGGATGACAAACACACTGGCAATGGTCCTTGCACAAACCCCAGGGAAGTTTGCTCTCTTCTCACACAGCATCAGCCTCCCACGCTGCTACAGGACAGAGACTGTCAGCACATTTAACTTTCCCTTTGATCCAGCAAACAGACACCAGATCTGCTGCACAAGGTGTCTGTGTGCTCGTCTGCCACACAAACCCCACAGCTGACACCTGCAGGAGCTCTGAAACCTCCCACAGGAACACGGTGGGAGACCCTTTAGGCTCTTACAGACACGGGCTCAGAAAGGCAAACCTTCTGAGAAGTGTCCTGAAGGGAATAAACACAGGTCCAAGCCCTCTGAGAAGTGTCTTTAAGGGAATAAACACA